CCCGCCTGTGTCACGCCAGCAACCGCGCGGCAGCTCAAACAAAGTTCGCAACCCGTTCGCCTGCCTCGTATACGAAACCTTTCCATGTTTGTGTAAATTGGTTGTTTGTGTGTTTGTTATATGTAGTCTCGAATGGGGTGGGCATCGATCATTTGCTGGAATTAGTAGTTATTTGCTTAACATAAATATTTTTACTGTAGGCCAATCTTTAGCTATCATTTAATTATACTAGTYCTGTCAAGTAGCAGTAGTAGTAGTTGTAGTAGCTCTGCATCTAGAAAGTGCTCAAATAAAATTTTAGAAATTTTATTCTTCTTCTTCTTAATTGGCGTAGACACCGCTTMCGCGATTATAGCCGAGTTAACAACAGCGCGCCAGTCGTTTCTTCTTTTCGCTACGTGGCGCCAATTGTATATTCCAAGCGTAGCCAGGTCCTTCTCCACTTGGTCCTTCCAACGGAGTGGAGGTCTTCCTCTTCCTCTGCTTCCCCCGGCGGGTACTGCGTCGAATACTTTCAGAGCTGGAGTGTTTTTGTCCATTCGGACAACATGACCTAGCTAGCCATTTTATTACATTATTAAAATAATTTTTAAAAACCGGTTCRATTCATCACTTCGCTGCTCGCCATGTTTCTGTCCTGTCTTGTCAACAAATTGCCATGTGAAAGCAAAACTGAAGTACAATAATTGAATTGAACCCAAAAGAGTTTGCGAGAGCTACAGTTTTAATCTATATTGATCTTATTTTATTATACCAGCTTGTTTCATTTGCACCAGTTGAGCGTACGATCCTCCATTTTCCAAGTTGTTTGTATAATTGCAGTATATAATATACCATTATATTATTATACCAGCATTATATATTATACCAGATTTCTTTATTTATAACAATTGATATAATTTCTGTGTATATCATCCAAACTTAATAATTTCGCTATACCAATTTATTTTCTTTATACCAGTTACATCTTCGATTAACCATTTTCCCAGTTTTTCCCATATTGTGCATTTGAATTCAACTCAGAAGTCTTTGTGTGCAATAAAGTGGTATAATTTCAGTCTATACCATTCATATTTTATTATAACGGTTTATTTAATTTATACCTGTTGGCATAATTTCAGTACATATGTATTATGAATGTCTAATTATACCAAATATCTTAATTTAAAATAATTGGTATAATTTCAGTATATATCATCCATGTTTGATTATACTAATTTATTTCCAGTTGCCCGTTCGATTCACCATTGCAAATAGCTAATGTAATTCAAACACTATCTTGGCGACAAGCGAATAACCAGATGCTATACTTTACCAATATTTTCCAGATATCCTTTGAATAACTCGATTTTGTGGTAAAATGTGAGCCCATTATTATWAACAAACTTTGTGCGAAAGGGTTTCAATTGAAATGACCTAAATTTGTACTTTTTGTTATAAGCTCAAGGAGATTTACATAAGCACAAGGTTATGCAGGAATTGATCCCTTTGTTGCCTAATAAGCCAAGCAATGCCAATCTACAATCTAGATCTCTTTACTTTCAATTTAAAAAAWAARTATTTCATTGTTTATTCAACAGTTATTTGCAAACATCAGTTCACAAGTCAAAAATATATACATATGTCAAGCGTTGATTATACTCGAAACCAAAATATCTTTATATATTTTACATATATGTGTAATATTATAATGATAAGAAAGTACAAACATAAATTGAGATTAAATGATAGTTATACCAGTATATACCATATACGTATGTACATAAATTTATTCAATGGAAGTGAGTGAGCAAACAGCTGATACATTATAAAAGGAAGAACCATTGAAGGTTTATAACCCATTCCACAAAAAGCATATGCTCCGTTTGTCGCCTTCGATTCACCACAATACTGCTTGTTATGTTTCTCTCTGCCCTCTTTGCAATAAAAAACATATTTTCGAGAACAACAACAAGTTCTTRCACTTTAGTTCAATATTCAAAGTCCATATGGGAACGTAATTACAGTGGTTTTAACCGCTTGGTTCTTTTTAGTTCTAATTATACCAGTTGTTTTTTTCAATTCGCCATTCTTGAAATTCGCTGACTCGTTTATTATACTAGTATTTTGRTTTTGTACCAGCTGTTTGTTCGATTCGCGATCTTGAAACCTATCAGCTCGTTTATTATACCAGTCTACTTGCTAGTTTTTAGTTGATWTTATACAAKTTTAATTGATTTATACTAGTTGCTTGTTTCATTCGCCATTGTTAACTTGGTTTGTCAATCAATATACTAGTATTTATAATTTATACCAGTTGCTTGTTCGATTCGCCTTCTTAAATCCTGGCAGCTAGATTATTATCCTAAAATTTGGCGTGTCGCTCATTACACCCGTCTATTTCATTTATACCAGTTGATTGTTCAACTGTTCTTGAAACCTGTCGGTTGTTGGTTGGTTTATTATACGAGCCTTATTAATTTATACCAGTTACTTGCTCAGTTGTCCTTTTTTGAAAATTTGCAGCTTGTTTATTATACCAGTTTATTTAATTTATACCAGTTGCTGTTCGAATCACTGTTATTCATTCTAACTTCTAAAAAAAACTACTTCATAAGTCAACTTCGTTCACCACAAATTTAACCCCTTATTCTGGTACGACTATGTACTATATATYAACCACAACTGTGATGCTGCACATGAGAGTTCTGTCAGAGACAAAATTGGCTGCCATTCAAAATATTTTTTCGCAAACACCACAAACAATTCCACTTAGTATAGGTATATATATATAAATACATACATAGAAATAAAAATGAAAGAAAGTATTCTGTGTCAACTACTTGAAAGAGGAAATCCATTGCACTGACGGTACTTCGAATGCGCGGGAACTTTGGGGGGATTTTATGAAAATTACGAAAATAAAATTCTCTTTCTCGACCTCCGTTATATAAATCAGTAGCACCGTGCTTGCGAGAAGTGTTAGGCGCTTTTTTCGACGCTTGGTCTTCGGCCACTTTTCTACACACTGCAAGCTTTGGCTCCGCGCTCGGTTTATTACTATTAAATATTATCATTTACCAAAGTGTTGTTATTGCGCGTACTTTTKCTGTTGTTGTTGATGCTGCCGCAGCGTTAATGTGGCAAGCAAACAGCATCATACCGGCAGGCGAACGACAACGTCAGACTCATTTTAATTGCTTTTAATTGAAAAACACAACTACAACAATAGCAAGCAAACTAAAAAACAAGAGCAAGCAAAGTCAATGAAATAAAAAGCARTAACAAAAATAATGTCAGTGCTGCAGCGAGAACAACAACAAACCGTAGCAATGRCTGTCAGTAGCTGCCACCGCCGCGTACAATAGTCCATGCCATTGCGCGCTCGAACGCGGCAACGAAGCAAATACACTGAAATCATAATACAAAAAAATAAATAAAAAGCTGAAACATATTAGAAAAGCAACAACAGCGGGCGCTGCGCGGCGCATCGTTTGGCAATGAGCCACCCAACTAATTGAGAGTGTCAGCTGTGTAGCGCCGCGATGCGCGCTCCTTACACTCGCTTGACAGTGCGCTGTGCGGTAGATTGAAGCGCAGTGAATTGGTTTTTAGCGCGTGACATTTCGAAAACGACCGAAGCGACAATCGCAACGAACAGCGACATAAACAAACCCAATTTTTTTAATTATCGCACGAACAACATATTGATCAGCTGTGTAACGAGAAAGTGACAAGCAAAAACCGAAAACGAAAACAAATTTAAGTACCAACGCGGAGTATAAAACGACGACCTTAGGGCGCGCATWCACGTACGCAAGCGCGCGCGGCCGCCGTTCCTTGCAGCGGTGTGACAGCGCGGTTGAGACGCCCAGCAGCGATAAATAGTAGAGGAGAAGCGCTACGTAGCAGCCACACAGCGTGAAGTGCTTTAACGCCGGGCGCGCGTAGTTARCATAGCCGAAATTTTTTCCATAAACAGTCGCCGCAAGACAACAGCGCGCGTTGGTTCGATATTACAAAGTGTACTTAGTTTGAATAAAGTGGAGTGCATTCAAGTTTTTTTTCTGTCTGCCGTGCTCCGTCAATTCGCCAATCATGAATTTGTTTCGCCTCAATAACAAGAACAATAGCAYAAGCGATGTTGTGCAACGCGATACGCGTCACTTGGAAGATCAACTGGTGGAATTGCGCCGCGAACTGSAATTAGTGCGTGAGGCGTTGCATCGCAAATCACTCAAATGTGCCATATTGCAGCAGGARCTCGAGAAGAGTCAGTGCACGACATGCCATCAATTGCTGAGCATCGTCTCGATCGGCAGCGATACAACACAACCGGATGGTGAGCCTGAGGAGGACGATGATGCGTGCGCCTCGAGTAACGGTCATACAGATGTCATAACTAAACTGCAAGCTGAACTGCAATTGAAGGACGCGCGCCTCATCAAGAATCGTGATAAAATACGTTTTCTCTGCAGCAGCATAGCGCGCTTGCAACAGGAGTGCGCGAATAAAGATCAAACAGTGACGGAACTGCAAAATGAATTGGATAAATTTCGGCAAGTGGTGCGCCCGCTGACGCAGGTATTCTTGCAACACACYGCGGAGGGCATTGAAGCGGCAGCAGCAGTTGCGGCGCATAGCGGCATGGAATCGACGCGCATAGTGGCAACAGGCAGTGAGACGCGCATAAAGCGGCAGGGCTACAGCGCGGAGCCGCTCTCCGATCTAGTGGACGCGGATAGTGAGCTGATCAAGATACCCAAATCAGAGCTGTAAGCGCGGAGAAGGGCGACATACGAGAATATATATAACATATTTTGTACTTTTAAATATTCTTGCATATACACTTATGAAGAATTCTTTCAACGCATCATTTGCTTTTATTAATATTTTTATTCTTATTGTAAATTGTTATTTTTGCCTGCTTTGTTTACCACTTAAGCAGCTTTTTCTATTTATTTTTTGCACTCAGCATGTTTATCAAATTTCTCTCTTTCTCTCTCCCTGATTTCTTATAGATCACGTGAACTCATCAAATCAGCCATATTGGACAATGATTTCATGAAGAATTTAGATATAACCCAAATACGCGAAATTGTCGACTGCATGTATCCCGTCAAGTATGCGGCAAAGAGTCTCATCATCAAGGAAGGCGATGTCGGCAGCATTGTTTATGTCATGGAAGGTGAGTAAACCCCCAAAGTGAATAATTGTTTAAAGCAAAAGACATGAAGTGAAGCCAAAATAGCATTGTTGAATGACAAAAGTCACCAAGTGTAGTGCGCGCAGTTTTTAAAAAAATAAACACAACAAAAGTTGCTACTCAATGCTAAGCACTGCCTTAAAAAAAATATTAGCCAAAAATTGAAATAAAAACAAGCGTTGCGTTGCATGTTAAACACCGACTGCTTGTCCATTGCGTCCGCGGCTGCTCGTCGCTTACTCACAAAGTCGATCAGTGAGGCGCTTTGCTGCGCGCCGCCTAAATGTAGGCACTATTTTTTGTGCTGTGTGATAGTTTCAATGATCGCACCGGGTGTGTGAACGCCTAAAGTTTTAACTATTTAATTTGGTAGTGTTCTTTTTTATTTTCGGTTTATATGGTTAAGGAAATTGTGCTGTTGTTGATTGAAATTGTCTAATAAGGAAAGTAAAGAATGCAACCAGATAATCCAATTAATCTGTTAGAAGAATTTTTGAACACATAAAATTATGTACATAATTATATATATATATGTATATGTAGGCACATATGAATGCATATGCTATTAGAAGCAGGCTTAAGATATATTTTACATACATGCATACATACATAYATTTGCGTAMATGAAAACAGTAAAAAAACATATTTAACGATAACACATTCGGACTTGGCAAGTCAACAAGCGTGTTTAATTATGTAAAAGATACACCTAAAATAATAAAAACAAAAAAATTACCGTTACTTTTGATTTCTCCGTTTTTCTGTAAAGTTAATAGATGATTTTATGTTTTGTTTTTCTTATAAAATTTAGTTTAATTAAATTTAGAATCTCAAAATGGCCTTTAAGTAACTGATGAAATTCCTTAACCAGCTTTTTCTGGTAGAAATTTGACTATTAAATTCTCCTAGAAAGAGCAAAKGTACTTAAATTTCGCCTTTCTTTTTATACACATACCTTATAGCAACAATTCCGATGAAAACGTTCCATTCAATTTATTTTGGTTTAAACTTACCAAAGTTGCAAACTTCTGTTGTTTACCACTGAAATGGAACAGAGCATGGGAATTTTTCTGCCTTATCGCAACATTTGTTGCACGAATTCAGCCCCCGGTTTTCCATCCAAGCTTAAGTGATCTATATTAATTGCTCCTTTGATAGTCACTGCTGTAAGAATCATAAATTATATGTAATAGCCTTTTCGTACAGCCAAATTAATTGAGTACATTAAGATTAGAATTGAKAAACCAGTTTTTGCTTTTCGCACAGCTCGATAACGATCAGCTGTTCTTCATTCATTCTTCATTTTGTRTTGATTATATTTTCTAATGATCATATTTCTTCAGCYGATTGCTATTTTATCAATGTACACAACCAAATTTACAGTCTAGACAACAACCAGCAGAGTTTCAAACCAGTTTCAACTTGATTTGAATTCCATTACAAATTAATGTAGTGAAATAAAATGTTAATTTTGTTTGATAAATTGATCTAAATTAGCGCTAATCGAGCAAAAGCTGTTAATAGATCAATTAACTCCGATGCGAAATGACTATAAACTTGCTACTTATTGAAAACCTTGAGTGATTTTGAACTATGGCAGAGCTATTGKGTTAAATAAATCAGTATATTCAATAACTTTCCTCTGTTTTCCATAAACATCATAGTGATTTCGCTGGAGAAAAAAATCATTGTATTTTGAAAATGTATCGTATGATTTATCCTCTCAACGTCTGCATCTGTATACCTCAATCTATTCTTAACATGTCCTTCTTGGAAGTGTATTATTAATAATCCCATTCATCCTCTCGACGGCTGCCTCCCTCTATGTTGCTAATTCCATTCCACATGGCTTTCTCCGAGGTTAGGTTAAGTGCTCGATTATCAGGCAGGCAACATTGTATTAATCAGGCCTTAAAAATGCAATCAATGTTAACATTTTAGTATTATTTTGTTATGAAGAAAATTATTCCAGAATCTTATTCTTCGTTTCACTTGATTTTGCCTTTTTAAGAAATTGTAAAAGTATTTATTTTTCAAAAAATACTAAAAATCCCAAAAATGCGCAATTCCCAAACTCGTCAGCCTTTTTTTGTTTTCGTTGATGTATAATTAGAATAAACTTAAAAACAAATATTATAAAGATTTTGATCAGCACAATCATTTACTTAAAGATCACGTCTGAACTCAAGTTCGATGAAACACTGTTCAAAGTAATTGTTGATTAGCACTTTGAGATAAGAATATTGCCCCAATTTATTTATTGTCAATCGCGAGTTATTCAGTATTAAAAACATACAGATGTTTTTATGCATATGTATATGCATACTATATAGTGTTTATATACACATAAATATATTTTCTAATAAGTAAGTGAGAATAGAAACGCGTCTGCTCGATAAAACGCAGATACCAGTTCTACCAAAATTATTTTTTCTTTGCTTATCTGGAGATAAAAATAGCATYAATCCCTAAAGCTATCTCTACATATTATTGCTATGTTATGAGAGCGCAATCTCCTTAGCAAGGAGTCTATTGAACGGTTTGGAATCGTTATTTCCTATTTACTTTTAGTTTTACGCGCTTARTACAACCCTGTACCAGTGATCTTGTTAAAATTTCGGTTATGAATCACAATTTATAATGATGTGACGGTCTTTTGCTATTTTCAAAGTTATGAACCTAGCTTTTCTCCGATCAAGGAATATTATTTCCATGATAAACCATTAAACACCTAGTTTTAACAAAGTGAGTTTAGAATAGTCTGATTTTATACCAACTCATCCTTTTTTTAAATATGAGAATCAAAAATTTTAGTATAAATTACTTCTGTCCCAATCTTATACCCTAATGAATTCGTAATCATGAATCATCCCACAGTGTTTTGTCTTCTTTGATTTATACAGCTGAGAAATTGTTTCAATCACCTGACAAGATGTATTTTCCCGTAGTTCCTAGGTGGAACATAGGGCCTCTCAATCACTTGACAAAATCCGTATTTTCATCCATGAGACTAAACTTGTATCGAATATCTCATACAAATTTATGTGTAATATAATGGGCCAATCGCTTTTCGAACCCCGATTCATCGAGGCTCAATCTATCAATTTATCTGTGAAACCTTTATCAATAAATGTTTTCTGGACCCTTTATTTTAGACTGCGGAATTACCCTATTTCTTACTTAGAATCCATATTATTTTAAGAATTGMTTAAAATAAAATGAAAAATGTGAAGTAATGCTGGCCACTCTACTTCCTCTACATATGCTCTCGAACAGGTTTTTGAAGCGCTCCGCTCCGCTCTTGCAATGCACAGCAGCTGTTCCGTTGCCGAATACACCTTTTCTGCGCAGCGTACGAGCTCCATTGYTTGCGAAAACACTTTACCTGTAGAGCGTTTGGTCATAAGCAGAGAGCACGCGTTATACTTTTTTTGTTTACACGCCATCTCCGCTTTGTTTTGTATACCTCGTTGCCATGTGCAATGTGCGGCGTCGGCGGTGWTCGCTGGAGCACGTTAGCATTTATTGAGCGCTCAATTGTTCAGTTCGAAAAATTTTCGAAGTCATTATTATTACAGCTGAGCGAATAGTCGAGGAGGTCCACAAGCAAAAAGCACGCACATACACGCTTACATACATGGCATGATAGATGTGGTACACGGCTGGTTATGTGATACAGCGCCGAGAGTGAGCGCGTCTGGACAGCAAAGCGTCTGTTTGCCACATTCGGTTATCTGCCATAATATGTGTGCGGCACTAAACATTCGATTAGTGAACGCGAAGCGATTTTCAAGCGCGCGCGCTTCAAGTAACGCGCGAATAAGATCGCGAAGTTCGTTGGTTTTTCTTCTTAATTTGTGCTCGATATACTATACTACATGTATATTGATAAAATATATATTATATATTTAATAGAATTAATTGGTTTTCATTACTCGCTTTGTGCGCGCATTGTGCGGTCTGTTTGTGAGTTTATATATATTTTTTTTATGTGAAAGAAAATTGTTTATTTGTTTGTGTGGGTTTGGCGACATGTGCTGTATATCGCCGGCGTATACTTTTCTTGTTTTATAATATTTAATACAAACTGTGTGTACGAAAAAACTGAAATTCGGCGAAGTCAATGAACAAAAGGCAAAATATTATATACATATGAGTAGAAAAAAAATATTAAAGAAATTAAACTATTAAAAGTGGCTGTGGAGTAGCAATGTGAAAGAAATATAAAAATTTAGTACAAAAASAAAAGACAAAAGTATTWAAAAAAATTTTAAAAATAAAAAAARWACAGTGTAGATTAAGATTTCATCAAAACAATAAAAGCGATTTCGAAAAGAAACAGAAATCACGAGAGAGTTGCTAAATTGAATTTACTTTACTTATATCTCTGCTAAAGATCACGTTAAAATGTAGACGCTATGTTAATTGACAATTTGCAAAAACAAATAGTGCAAATAAAGTTTTTTACTCAGTGAAATTTTTGCAAAAATATTTAATATACGTTTATGACTCAACCGACGCTGCATAAATTATTTTCGTTAACATTGCAAACAAATTGTTAAGAWATCGAGTTGTTAGTCATGCTTTTTGACACCAAATTCAGCCATTCAATTGATCATTTTATTATTACTCAACTCTAATWGAAGTTGCAGTTGTTATTTATAGATAGCAAAAATAAATATTTATTCAGAGCGCTACGGGTTTATCCAACTTCTTATATCTTTATTATAGATTAATGTAAACATGTTAATTTTAATACATCGGAATACTAATATCGGTATATTGATTATATCGTAATTTAATATTACATAATTAGCACCACTTGTCCATATACATAGTCTGAAAGTACTGTCCGTTTTGTTGACCTGGAGCCGTAAACTCCAGAGCACCTGATGCCAGTCGGCACAGCAATCTGCAGACGCTTTTTTAAAGTCCTAAGAATTAACGTATGTTGTTCTTGTTCTTGCATAATTCTGCCGAGT